GTCTTGCGTGACATTATTGAGAAGCGCAACTCTCCGACACCCCATCCGTCTACTCGTCTGTTTGTGCTTAAAAAAGGCACTTTTTACCGCTACAATGTCAACACAAATGAGTGCGTACTGCTCCTCGTGGTGCCTTCCCACCTACGTTCGAGTGTTATCGCTCAGCTCCATGACGCCTCCACCGCCGGTCACCTTGGTCTCTCTGAGACTTACGACCATGTTCATCGCCGATTTTACTGGCCCAGGCTTTATCGCTCTGTCTGCCGCTGTTTTGTCGCATGCGACTTGTGCCAACGTCGAAAAAAAATCGCCTATTAGTCCTGCCGGACTTTCCAGCCACTTGATCTTCTTATTCACCCCTTCTTTTGTGTTGGTCTTGACCTTGTGGGGATCTGAGGCGCGCCCGGGACCATTTCGCGGGCATTCCACCGCACAGCTACATTCTTTTGTTTTTTCTGCTCTGGTAACGGTGCGTGTCAATAGATGGCGCCACGTGCGGGCGCAGCACGTGGTACGTGTGCATTGAGGGTGCTCTCTCTCCTCCGTGGTCGGTGCCGGGTAAGAACATGTTTCCTTCGTCCGCGTCCCCTTTGGGAATCGCCGGACTGTAGCCTGCCTGCGGTGGCCTTCGGCACCTCGGCAGGCGTGTTTACTTGAGTGCTAGATTAGGTACCGTACGTTAAGCCCACAGCGGTGCCTAGTGCTTGAAGTGGTCATACCACGCCTAGCCGTACTTGCGTAGGCCTACGCGTACGAGGTTTGCCCTAACACTTGCGACCAGGCCCAGTGGCCATCGTGAGAGTGCGCAGCACAGCCGCGAGGGACCTTTTCCCAACCGGCGTGTCAAAGCTCGCCATGGCCAGCTGGGACATGCTCGCGGTTTCCCCTTATTGTGAACGTCTGCATGCGGGCGCCCCCTCCCCGCGTCTCGGGAGCGGACGTTGTATTGTTGTTCGGGGTGCCGCCAAGGGCAATAAAGTGTTGTGTATTTTTGTATTGGAACACTGTCTGTCTTGCCACGTCGCGCTAAACGCCTTATTTGATGAGCGCGCGCGGAGCGGTGCGCTACACGCGAGTAGGTGCCAAAGTCGCTGCCCTGTGGCTCGCTAAGCGTGAACCCGCGGTGATCATTCGCTGCAGTTAGTAGCGGGGTCACCATAACCTCCTAGGCCCTTTCCCTCAGTCTACCTCCGGAAACAAATGGATAGCTGTCGCTATGGATCATACAACCCGGTATGCCATCACGCGGGCTTTGCCAACCAGCTGGGCCACAGATGTTGCCGATTTTCTTCTGTACGATGTCATCTTCCATCATGAAGCTCCATGCCAACTCCTCGCAGATCGTGGACGCTATTTTCTCTCCCGAGTTTTTGAGGACCTGCTTCGCTTTTGCAAAACCAAACATAAATTTAGGATGGCCTATCATTCACTAACTAATGGGCTTACCGAACGATTCAACCGGACTTGGACTGGTATGCTCCCCATGTACGTCTTCTCTGAACACCTAGACTGGGACGTTGCATTGTCCTTTGTTAAATTTGCATACAATTCCTCACGCCACGATACAGCAGGGTTTTCACCATTCTATCTCATATTTGGCCGCGACCCAACTTTACTTTTCAACGCCATATTTCAGACAGCTGTCGATTCGCCGACTGAATACGCCCGTGACACTATCACCAGAGCTCGCAAAACACGAGAAGTCGCTTGGAAGTGCCTCTTAGCATCGCGAGAGCAACAGAAGCAACGTTACAACGCACAACATCGTGATGTCTCCTTTGCCCCGGGCTCCCTTGTGTTGTTGTGTACCCCGACTCACCATGTTGGTCTCTCCGAGAAGCTGTTTTCTCTGTGCTCAGGATCCTACCGGGTCTTGCGCCAGGTGACCGACGTTATCTACGAGATAGCCCCGCTGAATTCGTCATCTCCCTCCGATCCATTGTCTACAGACATTGTTCATGTCTCCCAACTTACAACTCTACTACTCCTGAACACCATAGAAAGCATCGAGACGGTGTTTCTGCACCCGGTGGTCATGTTACAAGACTACATCACGCTGAAGGAGCAAGACAAACAGCGAGAAAGACGACGTGATTCTGGGATGTGGAGCGCGCTCTCGCTTGCCATCTCCGCTTAGGCTTGGCATCGTGCAAATACATCTCAACTGTCACCTCGTTTCGCTGTGTGCCCTCCCGTAACAATATAAAGAAAAATCGGCATATATGTCATGACCTATGTAAACGCAATATTTTTTAAAATTTAAGTAAGGCCTGTGCAAATGCCATATTTTTGGTTCAAAGGAAGTGGAAACAACCTTGAATAGTAGTCGGTGACTTCTGTTAGAATGCAAGTGACAGCCTGAAAAATATGTTGCGTTCTAAAATATTTTATTATACTTGGAGCATATAAGCCGACATAACAAGCGTTTAAGCTGAAAAATAAAGAATACATGTTCATTGAACCTTGATTGGGTCTTCACGATAGTGCAGATTTTTTTTCAATAAAGGCGTTATTCTTATTCATGACGCCGCACTCCTTCGCTGCAGTGAAACCACCTTTGCAAATGGGTTACATGCGAACCAGCATGCACCTATTCATTCATTTCTTCGACATTTCCAATAATATAAATCTGAATCGAAGTGAATTCAAATACTGTAATATTTGTTCAAATATTCGAAGCTTTTAAATATTTGCACAAACCCACTCGATAGTAATGAACAGACCACTACCAATCCCGGCTGCGGCGGCTGCATTTCCGATGGAGGCGGAAATGTTGTAGGCAGTGTGCTCAGATTTCGGTGCTTTGTTAAAGAACCCCAGGTGGTCGAAATTTCCGGAGCCCTCCACTACGGCGTCTCTCATAATCATGTGGTGGTGGTTTTGGGACGTTAAACCCCACATAACAACATAACAACAACAGTAATGAACAGACCACTACCAAGCATTTGTCATGATCTGGCCCAGGTCTTGACGTGTAGATTTTAAACAAGTTTTTGTAATGCCAAAGTGAATATCGTTCACAACTCGTATTCAGGTCAAAAAGCAGGTTCGACAGCACTTCGACGCTTGTGTGCACATTAGACGGCTACCTTCTATGCTTACGTTATGGCTTGCTAAAACAGTTTAGTGGGCTCCTGGAAGGCTGCTCCTTCAGCTTATACTGTTACGTTTGTTATGTTTTTCCAAGTAAGAAGTCACTGCTTTTTTCCTTAATATTTATTTATTTATTCCAATAACTCTTAGGGTCAGAGGCACTATAGAGGGGAATGGTACACTTAAAACATACAATAGAAACTTCGTTCTGTCATTCTTGATTGGGGCTTAACTGCAGTGGAAGAATAAAATTGCACGGTTACCTTTAAATAGTTAAAGGTCATCTCAAAGGCAGTATATCCAATTACATGCATTTTTCAACATGTTACGATACCAGACTACGACACTGTTTTTCAATCGCTTCATATGAATCAGCTAATAATGTTTCTAAGTATTCTTTTTTTCTGTGAACAATCGTAAAGTAGAAGGCCCTAGATGCACCCACCGTTGAAACCAACAGTATAGAAATGTTCGGCTCTTTACTTGCCAGTCGATTACGTGAAGTTCCATTCTTGTGCATTACATGCCTATCGCGTTATCTTTCAACTTGAACGGGTTGTCTGATTTTGTTTTTAGGCTTTTTTTCCCTTATTTTTGTCAATATACATTTCGCTCCTCTTTTGCTTCACAAATTGGGTTAGTTCTTTTCTTTATATTGTCTTCATTTTTTCACTACTGTTTTTCCTAAAATGTTCTATGGATCATTCTTGTTTGTAACCCCACTCTGCAACGACATTGCCCAGAGTTAGCACTATAGTCAAATAAAATAAAAATAAATAAATAAAATGTTAGCAGGGGTGGCACCAGGATTATTATACCAGGGGGCCACCCATGATGAGCGAGTTCCTTCCGGGGGGGGGGGGGGGGGGGCTTAGTCATTCTGTTATGACTGTTTCCTTTCGGGGAGGCAACAGGAGGTAGGGCAGGAGAAAATTTTGGGGGAGCTCCAGCCACCCCGTGCCCACCTTGGGTGCCGCCCTTCAATGTTAGCTGAAAAAATAACAGTACAAGTTGTAACTATGCAAGCAAAAATCAGACTGTTGGTGAAATTGCATATTAATATAGTTAAAGAAGTTACAGTAAAAGTCTTAACAAAATAAACAAGAATCACAGTTTGCAAAAAAAAAATGTTATCACATAATTGGATTGTTGCTCAACAGTACACTTGAGCCTAAAGTGTCATGAAAATTAGAATGAGGAATAATAGATGTGATTTATCCTAGAAGATCCTTCTAGTTTTATTAGGTTCGGGGAATGAATGACTGATAACATGTGCGAGTCGAGCATCGTATGATTCCCACATTTTGGGGATAGTCGCAACAAGTGTCGATGCACGGTGGAGGGAAAATAAAGCCCTTATGCAGGGTGTGACTATAGTATATTTTGGCAAAGGGACATATGCGGGAGAATTTGCGGCGACGGGCGAGTCACGGAAGCTTTAAAGAGTTGTTCATTCAAGTGATAAAGCAGACAGAATTATAATGGACTTGCTCAAGAGCAGAGGTTAGTACAACGGTGGACTGGTCCCAAATGAATGCAGCATATTTGTCCTTACTTTGTACTAAAGTTTTGTGAAAAAGTTTTAAAGGGACAGGGGTTAGCATTACTATAGATTTCGTTGATGTGAACACACTAGGTAAGAGTGCTAGTTACACCCAGGTAGTGATGGGATGGCATGAGCTCGAAAGCGGAGTTGTCAAGCGGATAAGCAGTGTAGAAAGGTGTTCGGGAAACGTTTAAGACATTCCATTCAGTAGTGTTTAGGGTGTGGCTGAACTAATAGAGTAGCAGTCAAAAGCACTGCATCATGTAGAACGCTTCTGGGGTAAAAAGGACAGGTGCGATAGATGGGGTGGATCTAGAAATCGAGTGAACTCGGTATGCTCCGTTTCTGATGCCATGTGCAGGGGACCGCATGCGTGAAACCTCAGAAAGCTCTGACGGCTGGTATTGAGGCAAAAATGTACACGCCTATGAGGTGAGTTTTCAAAGCCATTTTTTGCAGTTCGACGGAATACTTTAGTCTTTACAGTGGTGTAGAATAAAATATACTTGGTTCTGTGCTGAGAGTGATGAAAACTGGCATAGTATACTGCTGAATGCTTTAATCGGTGGTTCTGAACTTCGAAGTAGTAAACTGCATTAGAACTCTTCGAGGTGTTTGTAATATCATTTATGTGTTTGCATGGTTAGTGTGTGTGTACATGCACTAACCAATCATGTAAAATCAATGTAAAATCAAACGACAATCATGTAAAATCAAATGACACAGCTGACAGCCATCTCCTCACAGACTTTATAGTCTGTGAGGAGATGGCTGTGAGCTGTGTCGTTTGATTAAGCTATTCTTGGGGGAACTTTTTCTTTGTAAGAATAAAAATGAAAATATTGGGAGCCATTTCACTTTGCAAAGGTGGCTTGTCATGCAACAAAGTGGTCACATGGTGGAGTCCTGACTGGTATGAAAGGCTAAGTTGCAAACGAGGCCATTAAAGTTAAAACCACTGTAACAAGTCTACCATGACACATCAACGATGACTTTGCCGTGGTTATGAATACACGCAAACCTCGATATAATGAACCTGAATATAATGAAATATCGTTTATAACGAAGCAAATGAAAAATTGTCTTGCAATAGAGTGTTTAAAATATATACCTTTATAACGAATTTTCGGATATAGGGAACTTTTTTATGCAACATTTAACTTCATTATAGTGCGGTTTGAATGTAGGCTTCATTGCAACGCGTAACATACGAAAGCCAGCTTACAAAAATAAAGGCTATGCCCATCCTCTTAAAGCAGCCTTTGCCTGTAAGCACAAACGCTTACTGGGAAGAAATGGCTCCGGACGATATAACCCCTTTAGCAATGGTGTGTGCAGCTGTACACATCAACTACGCGAGCACAATGCGCACCGCGTGTTTCTTAAAACTGCCTGAAACGTAGTGTGTGCGTTTGCACAGGCTTTGTTATGGACAGCTAGTTAAAAGTAATTCTTCTGCGTGTTGTCGAACAGGGTCGTTGTGCTGACGTTTCCATGTCTAATGATTGTTTGACATGCCTCGTTCAGGGACCAATGTAAACATCCATCTGCAAAGCAAACTGGGCGTACGTATATTTTGAGCCTAGAGTTTAGTTCTTCTTGTGCAGCAATGAAATATAGGTAATTGTGTTATAATTAGATGTACTATGAGATGATAATGACAATTAATTACAGAAATGTTCACATAACAGCAGGTTACCTCATTTCCTCTACTAGAATGCGGTATAGTGCAATGAAGTTGAGTGTGTCGTGTTGAGACACATTTTGAGTCTATCATAACTGTCGTCTGAAGGGGATCAAGTCACGTGGAAGTGTGATGGCACTAGAATGTTTTTATTTTATTGTTTGACGTTTTTTTTGAAGCACTGTTTGACAAAACAACACTTGGAATACCAATGACGCCATTGCTCTGCAGGAGGGGGAGCCATGGCGGTGGAAGACGCAAGGCATTTGTATGGTTATGCTATATTCACATTTTGTAAGCGTGGATGTGCATTCTAGTATATGGCAGTTGCCAGGGGGTTCCTTGTCTACTTCACAATGCGTTAATTAGTTTTTCCTTCTGAGCACAAACTTGCTCTCAATGCATATACGGCTTTCATCATCATCATCATCAGCCTGACTACGTCCACTGCAGGACAAAGGCCTCTCCCATGTTCCGCCAGTTAACCTGGTCCTGTGCTTGCTGCTGCCAATTTATACCCGCAAACTTCTTAATCTCATCTGCCCACCTAACCTTCTGTCTCCCCCTAACCCGCTTCCCTTCTCTGGGAATCCGATTAGTTACCCTTAATGACCAGGGGTTATCCTGTCTGCACGCTACCTGCCCGGCCCATGTCCATTTCCTGTTCTTTATTTCAACTATGATATTCTTAACCCCTGTTTGTCCCCTAATCCACTCTGCTCTCTTCTTGTCTCTTAAGGTTACACCTACTACTTTTCTTTCCATTGCTCGCTGCGTCGTCCTCAATTTGAGCTGAAGCCTCTTTGTAAGTCTTCAGGTTTCTGCTCCGTAGCTAAGTACCGGCAAGATACAGCTGTTATATACCTTCCTCTTGAGGGATAGTGGCAATCTACCTGTCATAGTTTGAGAGTGCTTGCCGAATGTGCTCCACCCCATTCTTATTCTTCTAGTTATTTCAATCTCGTGGTTCGGCTCTGCGGTTATTACCTGCCCTAAGTAGACATAGTCTTTTACAACTTCAAGTGCACTATTACCTATCTCGAAGCGCTGCTCCTTTCTGAGGTTGTTGTACATTACTTTCATTTTCTGCAGATTAATTTTAAGACCCACCTTTCTGGAGAAGCAGGATTTCGAACAGGCTACTCAACAATTGACCACATTCATACTATCAATCAGGTAATAGAGAAATGCTCAGAGTATAACTAACCACTATACATAGCCTTCATAGATTACGAGAAGGCGTTTGATTCAGTAGAAATATCAGCCGTCATGCAGACACTGCAGAATCAGGGCGTAGATGAAGTATATATAAACATTCTGCAAGAAATCTACAGGGGATCAACTGCTACCATAGTGCTTCATAAAGAAAGCAACAGAATACCAATCAAGAAGGCTGTAAGGCAGGGGGACAAAATCTCCCCAATGCTATTTACCGCATGCTTACAGGAGGTTTTCAGAAGCCTAAAATGGGAACAGTT